GCAATACGTGGAAGGTTGGGTCTGCTACGAGGTTGGGCAACTTTTGGCCAGCGGCTGGCAAGTATACATGCAATGTGCGCATGGCATGGGTATCCACAGTAATTAGTCTGTCTATATATCTTAGTATGCATCACAGGAACGCGGCTGTCATCCAAATCTATGTCACATGTAAATATCTTCAAATGAAACGGGAATTGACATGGAAAATTAAACCAAGGCTACATCAACCCATGCAAAAGTTACCGCGCACAAACAAGTGCTTAACCCCAACTTGGTGAGCATGGAACAAAATGAAGAAACTCACCCTAGTCCCCGCCACCAAACATATGCTTTCCGACCTCAAATACAGTGATATTTGGAAAGTGTCTTCCTTCAATACCCGAACATGTCGGTACTTAAAAGAAGAAATCCACATATGCCTTGCTTGGCCAGGATCAGTCTGGACTGGCTATGCAATGAACAAACAACAAACTATTATGGTGGTTGGCCAAGCCAGGATCAAAGGGGTCAGTAACCAACAAACCATAATACCCTCAGCATAGGCCTGTGTATCCATTTGGCACCCGTCCGATGGTGCCACTCGTGCAGCTCTCACTCCCAAGGCGGCCAGTAGGAAGCTGTTCGTTCGTACGAGCGCTACGCTCGGTGTTCGTTCCGTGTGCTCGGATCCAGTCCGTCCGACTCGGTCAGTTGGGAGTCGACTCACACCACTAGACATTAACACTGTATCCCAAACACGGCCCATGGGACTGGCATAGTATACAATTGGGGTGGTTTCACGGGTCAATGTGGGCATATATACTGGCATATGCCATGGAGTGTTTGGGTATATGTAGCAGTTGCAACCCCCACCATGCCTGAACATTGCATCAAGCCAAGTGCCTGGACACCCCCAAAGCGCCCCGGCCTGCTCTCCAGCAGCTGCCTCACCTGGCGCTCGGGCCTCGGTTCGAAGCCACCGAAGCCGCACGCGCTTTGTGCGCCGTCGACCGTCGCCGAGCGGCAGCCGGAGATCTTTCGCCAGCTGCGTGTCCTTGAGCATGGCCTGGCGCCGCAGCCTGAGAGAAGACGACAGGTCCCTCCGCAGCGGGGAAGGAGTCTGAAGACTCTCAGCGATTCCAGCATATCATCTAAAGTATTATAAAAGGGAGAAGGGAATCGAACCGAAAGAGACAACAACAGGACCTGGGCAGTGAAACAAGTTTGCGACCAGTGGACATACCCAAACTCGGTTATGGTGATGCGACTGAAGCGCGGCAACGTTCGCCCCAATCATTGTTGCAAGGTCAGAAACTCCATGACGATGCAAAGAAACCAACAGGGGCCTTCAGAAAATGCAAAGCACCTATCTGTCCCACGTGGGGTCATCAATGGGTATGACACCGCTTTTATTATCCCCACACACCATGCACACCGCCGTACATGCACCATCATGCACCTACGTGTCGGACCTACGTTGTCATTAAATGTCATTAGCTATTACCTGCTGGGGTTGGTTCCTTGGCCTGAGCAGGTCGGTTCTACCTGCTGAGGTCGGTTCGGTCTGAGCAGGTCGGTTTGGGAGCACCACCACTGCAGAGATCAGGTCGAGGTCGAGGACCCCCTTTTTGGGTCCGACGCGCTGCCTGCCGAGATCACGGAAGATGGACACCGCAGTGCAGTGGCCGGACATGTGAGGCTTCTGGTACTGCTCTGGACAGCCTCCATGAGAACGAAACAGCATGCCATGACGTGTTCGAACATGGCCTCCATGTAAGGCTGGGCATCCAGTGCATGTACCCAGAAGCTGCAAAACGCACACGCTTCTGGGGTCAAGTGTCAACGCCGTTCCGGGCGTAGGACGAAGCGGCGCTGCCCGATCTAGTGACATGACGGGCAAACAAAACCCTTATGGTTGAATTTCTGCTCCAAAGTGCCCTTCCACTAGAACAAAACAGTCTCCAACAAGAGTTCCACTGGCAAGGGGAAAGCCTTTGAGAACCTTGCCAAAAGGTACGTTTTCTTAAGAAGCCTTTTATGTTGTTTAGAGGTTAAGGGGTGTCCATTATCAATCACCCCATGTGGGTTCTGGTACCCCATGAGATTCATGGATTGTACCAGCAACCTCCTAGAGAGTCAGCACCTAGAATTTCTGACTGTCAGCCAAACAAACAAGGCATCGGTCTGGACTCCCGATGACTCCAAGCTGGATTCCTGGATATGTTGCACTGTGGCTTCCATTCAATGACAGATTTGATAGGCGCTAGGGATTCCAAGGATGTAGCTGGAGCCCGCGTTGGGAGAGTGCGGGGGGCCTTCTCTGTCACTCAACCGGAACATCAGTCGAACAAAACATTAGGTCACACACCATGTTCACCAAACAACCTGCTCTTTCCATGAAACCTTGGACAAATGAGAGATCTGAGGCATGTCACGCGGTGGTTGGGCCAAGTTCTTCACGACTTGGGCCAAGTTCTTCACGGAACGCCCCTGCTGATCAGCCAACAAGCGCTAAGAGAGTGACTGTGAGGCCCTGCACTTGTTCTAAATGCCTATCAAACCAGCTGGAGGGTGATCCGCCCCCTCGACCAAAAGTTCAAAGTCGAAAGTCCAATGGTCAAGTCAAAAATGGGTGGGATAGTCTGCACTTTGGATGTTCAGCATTCCTAGATGATGAATCAAGGACTTGGTGAGAGGCTTGTTCACAAAGCACAAACAGCGTGCACACGTGCCAAGTAGAGAACTGATGTGGACAGGGTTCAACAACCTCTTAGGATGCCAAGTTGATTCACCTACACGCATGAGCTACAAATTGAGAGGACGCACAGCTACAGTTTGGAGCGAAATCTTTGACAAAGCCTCCAACTTAGCCACATCTTGACGCTTTTTGGCGGTCAGCTAAAATGTCAATATTCCGAACGCACGGCGCGTGCAAACGGGGAAGTGAGGCAGTAGCAAAAGAAGGGCAGGTGCTTCGGTTTTCGCTCAAAATGTGTGCTATATACAAAAAAGCAGAATCATGCATCTCCAGAGCGGGAAAAAAAAACAAACATAGTCAGAGTAGACGATGCAACTCCTATGACTCCCATGTAAAACCCCGTTGATACCAACTCACCCAGTAGTAGCAGAACCGACCCGAACAACAATCCCATGTTGGTTGAAAAAGCAAATAACAGCTCGTTGTTTGACCAAAAGCTCCCACCACTTGCTTTTGCACGCCTCTGTAGCTATTGTGAGCAACCCTTTTGGCTGCTGACGCATTGTTTTAACCTCTCCGCCACCATCTCCTTGACGAAAACGGGCGAGGGCATGCGAGGGCTACCTATATAAGTCTCGATTGAAGGCGGGACCCGAGGTGTCAGTGGCTAGGACGAAAAAAACATGGACCTTGCTTAGCCTTGCTTCATCCCCTTTCCTGGCAATGACTCCAACATCCACTCTACAACCCAACAAGTTCACATGACGAAGCTGCAGTACTGGAGCAATCGCAGTCCACCTATGCAGGTCCCTTCGTCCAAAATTCAAGACTCAAGACCAACCTCTGCCGCTCCTTAAAGGGTCCAAGTTCCAACTGTGATTCGGATAATGACCCCTGAAGGAACTCTCTGCTATGAGCTGGTGTCTGGTCGGCTATCACATGTCAGTTGATGTCGTCATAGGCTACAGTGCTACAGCATTACCCCCGCATGAAGAGTGCAGGCGAAAAAATAGAGACCCTAATACACAAAACGACCGCCAGGAATATATTGTCGCTACAAGTCGCAATAAAGAATGACAAGAAACTGAACCACCACCCAACATTCAGGAAGCTAGGATCCCCAGGAAAGGCGATGCGTTTGGTGTTCTTCCAGCCCAAGCAAGCCCAAGCAAACGGCTAAACCACGAAAAGGATATCAAACAGCACCATCATGCACCATCCCTGCAGTCAAGGTACTCACAACGAGCGCCGGGGTAGAGACTTCCAAAATTGTTTATTACGCTTTGCCGGCCTGACCGGTGGGAGAGCGCAGCTTTGCGCTGGTAAGCAGCAAGTTCCTCTGTATCAACTGCATCAAGGGCTTTGAAACAGATCAATGCTCTCTGACATCAAGAAGACCGACCCCTCCATTCAGCCCGACCCCTCTTAGCGCCTTCTTGGACATCTTGGCCATCATCTTCTCGTACTCCTCCCATGTGCGAGACTCTCCAACCACCCAAAACGACATGGACAACTCAAAAACGACAGGGCCGCCGCCAAAGGCCTCCAAATACCTGGTTGGTGGTTTCAGCTCACATGAAAAATCAGTGGGGATCGATCATCCCAAGCAAAAGTTGAACTTAAACATATCATATCTGAACATATCAGAAACTTAGTTAAAAAGGCATTTCGATTTCGAGCCCGGTCCGGGAACATCGTTGTTGCATGCTTTTGCTAAGTTCTTCCCCTACCATGCGGTGCCTAATGAAGACTGAAGCCAGGACCTCTAGGACCCCTCTAGAGCGCCTGGAAGGGGAAGGCCGGGAAGGCCTCGGTACTTCCAAGCAACGCCAACACCTTCGCGAGGGGGGGTTTATAATGGTTTGTTAAATATCTATATATTTCCGTAGGTTTCCAGCATGACCCCAAACTTCAAATGCCCACGCATGACTTCAGGCAAGGCCCTTGGACTCGCATCGTGGCGTGGCACAGTCCTCCATGAGGAACTTCTTCGCCCTTTCCGAGATCTCCTCAATGTTCTCCTAGCAAAGAGTCAGGTCGTCTTCGCTCTGTGAAGTCGTCCTCCACCTCCATTCCATTCCATGTGAATCCATCCGCCCATGGAACACAACAACATCTTCTACTCCACGGAGTCCGTCGCACTCCAAAAACATGTCTAGAAACATCTCAAGAACTTGGGCCTATCTGGTCTATCCTATTACCTGTAACAGTGGATGATGATGGTTAGTAAAGACCTTGCGCAAAAATAGTGATAATTGTATACTGATTGTTACAGGTAATAGGAGTAACCCAATTGTTTTTAAGAAAGGAAACGCCTTGGATTCTAGCCTTCTCTGTAACGTCTTCCCCAGAGCACCTTGGTGTAGGGATACTCCACCTCCTCCGCATCGGCCGGGATTTGCCCATGATCCTGGCACCAGCGGAGCAGCGCCCCAGCGGTGGAGTGGTGGAGGCTGCATCTACCGCAGTAAGCCCAGCTGGTCTAGACGGATCAGGTGGAAAACGCTTGACACCTGAGTGTGTATGAACATAGGGAGGACCCCCCAGTTCAACCCTGTGGTTGTTCGGACCCTTGTGCGGAAGAAAGGCCTTCAACATCTTGATGTACATCTTCCACTCAGCCAGGCATTCGGCCAAGTGCTTTTCCAAGGGGTGCGCCTTCATGTGCTTTTCAGCCTGGCAGTGAGGTGTGTCAAGCTTGGCCGGTCTCCTTCGATCATTCTAGTATCCAGGGCGATCTCTGCGAGTGAGAACATCATGTAAAACATCCTTTCCAAAGCATCGCCACCGATACAACGTCTAGGAATGTCTAGGAAACACATAAGTACCCATCCCAAACGTTCCATATCTTCATGCAAATATGTGACTTGGCCAGCCAAAGCGCAGCTCCTCCGACCGGTCCACTCGATCCGTCTCCGACCTTCAGCTTGTCCGCTTCCCCCATCTCTGCGGTGAGGTCGGGGAATTGCCCCTGGTGCGCGGCGAGCCGCGGAGGGGCAAAGGAAAGGGGGGGGTCCCTGGCCAGTCTCGGGGCAGGTGTGGGTGGCGTGCTACCGAGACATGTAACAAAAATACTAGCACTTTACATGTCGAAACTTTGGAACAACTAGCACTTTTGGCGCAGCATGCCCTGAAACCTACGAATCAACGGAAATTATACTCGTCGAGCATGAGGGGACCCCATTTTTCCTCAGCAGGAGAGATGTGTCGACCAAACCTGAAGAATGACCGTCGTGGCCAGGACGTGCGAACCCTTGTAGATGTAGTTGCACCTGAGTTGCTGAGCCGCAAAGTGGCGAACACTTGGTTTGCATATGTTTCTATCGGGTCTCTTGCAGGGAGGGAGCCAAGAGTGGCTTCAGCAGGGTGATGCCCCTGATGGTCACTAGGCCAAACAGGTCACAATGGCCTCAACCTGATTGTCCCCCAACAAGCCGGCTCAAAGCTTTCTGTGCAATCCATCGTTGGACACTTGCAGCCTCAGCGATGCGTCCCCACAAAAAAAAAAGTGATCAAATACGCTGCGTTCCTGGATGTTCCTAGTTAGGGTTTAGGGATTCTGTTCAAGTTGGTCCTCTTGTTCAGGTTCCTCGTCAGGTTCAGGAGTTCATGCATTTCCACACGGCTCCATGCGCAAATATTTGCAGTTGTTGTTCCTCCCATCTCAGGCACTCGTAGTGCTCGTCTCGGGTGGTCTTTGGCAGCCAATCCCTGACTCCTCACGAGCGGAGAAGGGTGCGCACGCCAGGGCCGGGTGAACATGGACCTCTAGGGCTCCTGTCCCACCTCCGTTTCGAAGGTGGTTGGGGTGGATGCAAGGGGGGGTCGAATACCACCGAACCTGAGGATATGGTTGGAGCCCTAGGGATAAAGGTTTGCCAAACTTTCCGCCAGTTCTTGATGTGAAGCAACTGTCCGTTCCCCCCCAAAAGTGTCATTAAAGGTTGTTGTCCACTGATTGAGTGTCCGGGTTGTTCATCTACCTCATGGGTGTTCAGGCTGGAAACGGCCATGCCTAAATCATCTATACAGTATATAAATCTACCTCATACATATGTAGTCACATAGTGGCCATCCTAGAGTCTAGAGCTTGGACTAGCGACCGCAACTCGAATCCTTCCCCAGCGACATCCGGTGGAGGACGCGACAATCAAGTGTCACAACGCCGCGACTGCACGCGCCTAGGAACTTCTGTGGAAAATCGATGAAGTAACGGTTGGTGATGATTTGGCCCGCATATCCTTGGGCCATCCAGCTACCACATAGACAATCAAAAACACTTTAAACACAAGCAACTCATGGTCCAACTAACTCGCAAACTGCGAGAACACCAACAGTCTAAGCACACCCTAAGGCTCTACGGTGCTGCAAGTAATGTAGTAGGAATCTTGTCCTGGACAACTTTGGCTGGATCACTGAGTTCTTTCAACTATCTACAGTACTCCAATCCACCCACTGAGAGGGCAATATAAGAATGGATGAGAATCTGCACCATTCTCATTCTCCAGCCCTCCAAGAACCTCATGGCCCATGAAAGCCCATGGATGTTCTTAGGCAGAAAGATCTGGAGTTGCTATGGCCCACAAGAAACATCTGCAGCCAGGAAGCCAGGTGCCAAGCTGAATCCTTGCCAATGAGGCTGCAAGCAAACCACCGAGGGGGTCGTCTCACTCCACAAGCCAGATGGTTTGTAGTGGTTTCAGAGTAGCCCTAACAGGTGAACATCCTATGGTTTAAGGACAATAGGGGGTAGATCTCTCACCTAGTTTGAAACCGGTGTAGGTCTCTCAAGTTAGTTGTGATCTCTTGTGCTGCTGTTTGGGCTGCACTTGGTCCCGCAAATGGTAGAAGAGTGGGTTTGGTGTGATTTTTGGGGTCAAACCAATGTGGGTTTAGGTGTGCTTTAGAATGGGACCGTCCCCGCAAGGAACCGAAGGAACCCTGGGCCTTGCGGGAGACATGATTCAAAGGGCCGGCTCCCCCGTCCCGCGCAGGTTGCGCCTCCAAAGTTCTTGGCCTGCACGTTTTCGCAAGCGAGGCCAGCCCCTATCCTGTTCCCCCTCGGAGTGCCAATCGCTGGTTTCTCCATCTGGAACTCGGCGATGGAACTCGATGATGACTCAGCTTGGATGTCAAATCGCCCCAGTGTTCGACTTTCAGGGCCTTGTGTTGCGGCCAATCTACCAGTTGCAAAAGAAATCAGTTAAGCACCATCCAACATATGCCAAAATACATGCCCGGCCCCCAGCGTGTGAATCCTTCATGGCAAAGCGTGGTCTTTCCGTACCTCACCCTCAAGAAAGACCGGTCCTGTAACCAATGTCAGGTGAAGGAGTTCTTCTGGCAACAAGGCCTAGGGCCTAGAGGGCCAAGCTTACCACTCAGCTATATGAAGGCCTTGATCTCATCCATGTGTGCCTCTGCATTGGGTGCATCCTACTACCAGCAACCGTGGATGATGACGACGATGACAATTAATGGTCTTGCTTATTCTCAGCACAATGGTCATAATATGTTGCCGACTAATGGGCCACGCCCTACCTCTACCTTCCCTTGAAGACTTTGACTCCTGGACGTCCTGTCCTCGCCTGGACGCCCTTGGCAGGAGCCACCACGGGCAACAAGGGATCACCGTTGACCCACCAGCCTTGGTAGAACCTGGGCTGAGAGCTTTTACAAGAGTTAATGGCTTCAAATAAGATCGTGCATCATATCGCGCATACATCAAACAGTGGCCACTCCAGGTCCTTAAGGTATTTGATATATTGTAGATTTCTGTGCTTCATCCTTTTTAACCACACCACGGACAAGGTCCTTATATTATATGGCATCCCTGCACATGAGGGTCTGAAGAACAAGGCAAGCCTTCTAAGGCTCTAAGGCTCCAAGAAGCTTGAAGCCAATGATGTCATCAAAATCCGTCGCACCGGTGCTGCCCAGGCATTTCCTCGGAGAAGTGTGAAAACAGGATCGGTCGGGCCCTCTGTTGAAAACCGCTGGTGCCCCAGAATCCATTGGGTACCTGGTCCGCTGTGTCCAGAGCCAGGGCTGCCGCACACCCATCGCAGCTAACGTGTGCGCACAAGTCGCTAGTGAGCTAGACCTTGCTTTGCCCTGCACCCTTCACCGTGGAATGGTGGCCTTTCCAAATGCTGCTTTGGTGGTTCGTTGACCCCGTTGCACCCAGGCGTCATGACCACGTTGCAGTCGATCTCCTTGCCATCCTTCAAAACCTCACTGGCTTTGAGGGCGAGTCGAAGACATGGGCTTCAAGCTGCTGAGCTGAGCGCCGCTGATGAAGTGAAGCTATATATTAATGTATGTCATACTACACTGGGAATGAAGCTTCTACCAGCCCCTTCACCCAGGAAAAAAAGCACGACATACAGTATACATGAGGATGGTTACTCCACTGCGGCATGGCCGATCTTCCTGCCCGAGGGGCAACTTTTCCCTGGGCCAGCTTCTCAACCTCACCGTTGATGACCTCACACACCTGCTGACGGCAGGCTGCAGCATGCTACGGAGTAGAAACAATTGTAACATCTGGAATCATCGTTGACACTGGTCACCTTTGAACATGTATCAGAATCAATTCATCTTGGCATAGCAGGGTTGCCTCATTGAATGACGTGATTTTACGTGACTACACCAGAATTGTAGGAGTCATATTCAGAGAACACATGTGACACACAAAACAAATACGTTTATACTTGTAATTGTCATATAAACTCGCAAAGCTTGTGCACCTTTCAAGGCTCTCAGTCCATACTTCTGTGATCTGCATGTGGTGCAGAACTTGCACAGTTCTCACGAAGGTAGCCTAAACCACCTCCCACAAGGCCTAAACATGGTCCCATGGCACCTTGGAAGACTACTTTGGGTTGAACTCCATTTCCATGTCATCATGTGATGTGTTCATGTGTTCGGAGTGTATGTCACAGCAACTGCCATGTGATGCCTTCTGCTCCAAACCACTAAGCCGGTGATGGCTCGCCATCCCGGTCACCGGTCACCAAACCTCTGTCGCGACCAATCTGACCGCAAAGCTCGCGTGAGCCAGCGGATTTCGCTCGGTCGCGGGCCTTGTAGTAGCAGGCTAAGAAGTAGATGTCAGTCACGCCAAAGGTGGTGGTTTGCGTCAGAATGGCGCTACTGCGATCGGCATTGGCGTTCCTGAAAGGTCGAGTGGAGAGATGTGGACGTCTGGGCCGCTCCAAGCAGCCCATGCACCTCCGAGCCTTCACTCGCACGGGGCACTTGCAGTCGTACTCCATCACACTCCCCAGGCCAGCGTTGAAGCATCACAGCGAGTGGTGAGCCACCCAAGAATCCCCTAAATCGACCAACTGATCTTTAACAACATTTTATTCTTAAACAAAAAAATCATGTCCGACATGTCCTGAACCAGTTGGTCGACATGTCCGACACCTTGAACGATTTCTTGGAACATGTCCGTCCTGAACGTCCATCCATCCATCGGGCCCGTCTCTCCCCGACCGTCCAACCGAACCCACCACCTCCGTCTCTCCAGAAGCGACCGGCCAAGGCTCACCACTGGATGGGCCCAAACATCAACACCTAAAAGGCCATACATCATCTGGAAGGCCTCCACCACGTAAGGTCCTCCATGTCCATGTTCTGTCCAGGCTGCGGGAGACAAGGGGCTGAGTTTGGGGAGACAAGGGGTTCTGCTCTTTTTGGACACGGCCTTCCTTTTTTGTGGGGGGGGAGATCGGATGGAGAGGGTAGTGTGGGCGAGCGGATTTCGGTGTTCCAACTGCCCAACTGCAAGGATTCGCTTAGTTTAGGCCTCCAAGGCTGCTCACAAAAGCCATGAATTCAGATGACTCTCCCCCAAAAATGACAAGAAAAGGCATCAACATGAGCCCAAGTCAGAGATCCAGACCGAAGGAATCCAAGCATGAAGACGAAGAAAAAGAGACCGTCCGCGCACTCAGCAAGCAGTTCAAACCACGAGCAGTTCAAACCGTGCTGGACGCATCAATCAAACCAATCTTCCACCCACTCACCGCCGATGAACCGTGCTGGTGCCCTGCATGGCTCACATGGCTCGGACGAACTCTGACGAAAATGGAACGAGCCAACAAAAGCCCAACAAAATCGTGTCGTAAACACACCAGCTTTCTTTTGGCATGTCATCGTTATAACATATCCTGTACCAAAAAACAAAAAAAAACGTTATTAACTATAACCAACAACCCCCCCAAAAAAAAACAATCAAAAACAACACCGAATCGATCGGTCCTGGAATGGGGATGGCCGCACCACTGACCATCCATGAGACCATCTTTGGCCCCGCCAAGTGCCGATGCCGGCACACCACATAGACCTGCGACGTGAAGGAGAGACCGGTGACGTTTCGGTTTTCGTGGCCAGTTACAGGAAAGTCTTCCACCGACCCCAAAATATGGTAAAAGACAGCCCCGAATTCATGAACATGGAAGCGGTCTGGACGCTGTTTGTAAAGGAACCGCTGGTCTTCCAGGCTTCATCGTCCATGTCTATTTCAGGGAGTCCCCGGTCCACCGGTCGGGCCTTCTTGCACTTCCGTTCCACGCAGGTCCGCACGTTCTCGATGGTGAAGCCGCCGTGCCCCACGATCACCACGGTGGCGTCCTGCGCGCGGGAAACGCACGGGTGTCAGACCTGCGCGCGTTAGCAACGGAGGTGCATGTCTCTAAGCAGGCAGTAGAAAGAGGAGGGTCTGATTCGTTCCCTCTTTTGGCGGGGGTCGGTCTGAGTCTATGATGTATATATGCATACAATACGTGATAGTCTATATACTATATAATACTACCCTAGGGCTCCAACCGCCTCCTGAGAAAGTGGTTGGGGTGGGTGCCAGGGGGGGTCGAATACCACCGAACCTGAGGATATGGTTGGAGCCCTAGGGCTAATAGTCTACTATAAGTACGTGTACTATATATATACACCTCTCGCGTCGGTCGGTCTGCGACCACGGGTATATGGTCGGTCTGCTCTGGTCAGGAACCCCTGGACGCAGTGACAAGGGAGAATGGGATTCATATACTTTACTGTAGTATATATAGAAAATGTGTTTTCTATCGTCCAATGTTCGAGTCTGTAGGTTATGATGGTTATGTGTTTGCTAGTTGAGGGGCTGCATTCGACTGGTGAAATATGTATACAATTGAAATCAATAGAATGGGTTTGGTGCAAACCCCACAGGTCCCCCAGAGTGGTGACAGGTCCTGACCTGTCATTGTTCCAGCGCACCACGTCTCAGACCGGTCGGTCTGGGTCCTTCAGCTTCTCATACTTGATGCTGTCATAGGAGCCATGGCAAACATATCCTTGGAGGCATCATCTCTTTCAGACATTAGCACATGCGTCAGCAAGAACTTCATAGAATTTGAGCTGTAGTCAATCATCTTCTCCGCATGTCTAAAGTTGAGAGACCACAAAAAATAGGGCATCACTTCGTGTGGCAAGACATTCCATCATATGTATCACCGCAAGACGTGTCAATTCCGGATCACCGCAACCGCCCAAAACTCCCGGTCGTCGATGCAAAAACGCGGCCAAAGGCACCACCGAACTCATCCCTGCCCGGCCACTTGATGTCAATGGGGTTGTAGAAGACGCCTCCCATGGCAGTCCAAAGGCAGCCCGCCGTCCCGTCCGGGAGCACGTGATGGGGGGCGTGGTGGTGCTTAAGGGTCCAAACTTCCATGTGAGATCTCGGCGTCACTGGCCACTGGGCGCTGTCAGTTTTCCGGTCGGTTGCGAAGACAAAATAAGCAGCTCACAGTAAAAGAAAACAACGCCATGTGCTGCTAGCTGGTGCTCCTTTCCGTTCCATTATGTAGATGAGTATGAACGCAATGCACATACATGCGTACGATGTTGTTCGTGGCTGATGGACCCTGGGAAAGCCCCTAAAAAAGTAAGTATACAGCAGTATGATATATCAAGTCAGAATCCAGTCAGTGGAAGTACGTATCATTGGCTCTACCCTGGGCGGAACATGTGATGAACATGTAACATGTCATTATCAGCGTTTTGGGCCACCAGCAGCTTCAATCAATAAGGAAATCACAACAAATAGGTCCGCGCACATTTTGCCCACACACCTTGCACCCTTTCGTTCTCCTCGGTGCACCGGGCCCCCCCCGCGGTCCCCGGCGCTCCCGGTGTCGCCTGGGCAGCTGATCAAAGCACTCACCTTCAGGGTCTCCGAGGCGTCCTCCGTGGTCAAGCTCAGCTCCTTGAGAGGCAGCCGCAGAAGCGGAGCTCCTAGTAGCGTCCTTGCTCCCAGTAGCGATGCCAGGAGCCCCTAGTAGCTTCTTCCTAGTAGCGATGCCCTTTGCTCCTAGTAGCGTCCTCTAGCCCCCCTCAGCAGAAGCGGAGCCGTCGGCCGAAGGCAAAGGAAGGTGTGGAGAGTTGGGAGAGTTGGGAGGCAGTGAGCCATGGCTCTCAGCAGCCAGGGAGATGAGTGAGAGTCGAGTGAGTTCAAGCAAAAGCCGAAGGGATGCGTTGGCGCGCAAGGTTCCAGGTGCTTCCAACTGAAAAGGGCTCACAGGCTTGACTTGACATGTGCTAAAAGTCAACCAAATTGACACTTCAAGTGCTCTCATCCACCAATTAGGCTCTCATGTCGCTCCTCAACCGATCAATTGATCCGAAATTCTCCTGCAAACTCCATCCAAGGCTCAGTTGCACCCTCCAGACCCACAACAAATCATCAAACCCCGTATGACCAGTATCTTTGGGCTCCAGGTTTGGACCCATCCCCTTTGTGTCACCCCTTGGCCGCTGATCTTCGATCATCCAAGTCGCGTAGTAGCCACCATCCAAGGGATCCCCCTTCACTTCCACCTTCTCAAGCGAAGTATTGAACCTGACTTCGTGGGTAGGAGCGAATGACACCCGCACCTGCCAAGACCCAAGCGAACCACCCAGGAATCCGATCCAGGATTCAGGAGGCAAGAATTCACTAAAAAGAAGCGATGACATGCGGTGACCATGGGACGACTGGCTTTCCTATCCTTTCGGTGCTCTGGACGTTTTCATCCTCTAAGGGGGCCAAGAGGCCTCTTCCTCCTCGGATCCATTTTAGCTGCGCTGGCTGCCGTGTTCCCTTCTAACTCGACTGAAGACGAGCCATTTTTCTCCAAGCGCCATGCAGGGCAGTCATAAGGGTCCTTTGACCGAGGATCAGCTACAGGCCGCTCTGAGCCACTGGGCAGGCTGGTGCTGAAACTCTTGGCAATCGAGTTTTTGCAAAGCCTATGGGCAGCTTGCCTTAGACCCTGACTCTGCCAAATGAATCTTTCTCAGCATTCTGACTTTCCTTCACCAAGCACAGGGTTCAGTGAAGATTTGCTGTTCCCACACGCTGGAAGATGTTGCTCAATGCAACAGAAAATGATTGAAAGGGATAGGAACTCCAGGAACTCCCAACCTGGCAGTGTTTCGCCTTCAAGCAATTGCTTAATTTAATGAACTGAGTTGATGCTACGACGGTAACTTGTTCACCTGATCGTCCTTCAAGCACGCGGGGAAGTTTGCTGGGGCGGGCCTGACTTTTTACGTTGGAACCAGCTCCATTGTCCAAAGCGGCTGTAGCCTGGTTTTTGACCATGCTTCAGGTCGTTGCCAATTATTTTGCACATGCTGCCGCCTTCTGGGCAAACGCACTTGAATAGAATTCTCAGGTTTCCCCCCAAAAACAACGCCTAGGAACTGTCCATGCTCATATTCCAAAATGGACTCCCAAGCAAGGACGCACCTTGTCACAAGGTCTCCTGCCGAAATCGGTTTCCTCCCAAAAAAAAAGACAGCTGCGGTTCTTGGTGCATCTGATCTTTCACGGTCATCTTCTCGGCCGTCAGCCAGGTTACTTGCACCTTCCTTCATGCCAAGTAGCTGGGGGAAGCCATGAACACTGCAGTAAACACCTGATTCGGAGAGGCTGCCAGAGCAGTGAATCATCCTGTCAAACGTGGGAGGAAACGCCAATGGCCAAAGTGTGCCATCCTTGAGACGCTTCACCTGCTGATCTTCTCAATGTTCCCATTTTTGCAACTTCTAATGACCATGGTTTCCAAGGAGAACACTAATTAGATCATCCATCTCTTATATATATATATATATAATTCCTAAGTTTATTTAGGAACATCTCATTCTCATTCTTCCCTACCGGTATCCAATGCAACTACAGTAAGCTGGTTCATCTCTTTTTTCGGGGGATCTTCTTATCCAAAGAAAACGGCCCGGGTCAACTGCAGGAGATTCGCTCAAGGATGCGGTGGCAAGTACTTCCCCGACACATAGGCCGTGGGAAGCCGTTGCACCGGCTGCACCACGCGTTGCACCCGCGTGGGCGAGGAAGACCGGAGACCTGGGCCGAGCCAGTGGTTTGAAGAGAAGTTCCAAGCTGCAGGGGGAGTAGATCATAGGATGGTGGGTGGTTCTAGAATGTTCTAAACACTGGCCCATAGGATGGGGGGGAGTTAGTACAGTGAGTTTTGGGCCAATGCTCACGTGACTTGTTCGCAGTCTTGTCAAAGCCAAAAAGCCTTGAGTTGATCGAAACATGAGGTTCGCACGGGAGTCTGGCCGAGGGCACGAGGTGTTTCCCTCAACAGTATCAAAGGACCATCGATTTCCCTGAGAGTCCAGGTGACTCATTTTACCCCTATACTCTTTTACTAGCCTAAGGTGACTTGTGCATCCTCTGCACACATAGCGCCTCGACCCGTGCAAAAAAAAAAGACTCATTTTACCCCTATAGGCCCTATGGATGGATTGTGAAGTACCAGGTGGAGTATCAAATGGGTCATTGGAAGTGTGGGGGTTTACTGGCCAAAGAATATCTTCAGTTGGACGTTAAATGTCCCATGGTTTTCCACGTCAACTCCCCCACAATGGACCCAAAAACGGATGGGGCTTCAAGTGATTTCAAGTGCCAGGGTATACGCATTGAGAATTTCAAGCATCGGGACCCAGAAAAACACCCTTGGGCAATTCCCTGACTGCGGCCAAATCAGATCCTCACACCTGGATTGCTCGAAAAAGTCCAAAACAATCCAAAACACGTCCCAAGTCGAAGATTCGCAACCTGAGGGTCTAAGACCCTCCATCTCGATTCACCTGACAGGCCGACAGGCCACTGCCGCTTGCGCCACCAGCTGGTGCCATGGAAGCTGACGATGTAAGGTAGGTCACAGTCTTCACGCGCTCCTGGGCGGCGCCCCTCTGCGTTCTTGTGGCACAAACGACGAAGCGCCCTGTCGTGCCTGGTCCTCTCAAGCCGTTTTCCACCCACCCACCCACCCACCCACCCACTCCATACACCGAGGTGGTTTGGGGGTCAACATGAGCATACTTCAGGTCTGTGTATGCAATGTTCGTGTCTGGGCGGACCAGTGCCGAGTGTCAGGTGAACTGGTCCGCGCCACGCCGGTGGGGGGCAAGTGTGGCCGGGCGTTGGCAGTGACCGGGTAGCTGATCAAGCCATCATCGACCAGCCTGGCAGGCGTGCTGCGCGCTGAAATCATCCCCCAAATCCGATTTGGTCTCATACAACTGGTCTGAGCCTCAGAGAGGGGCATTGAGCATTGTAAGAAAGACTTTCTTATAAATTGTATTGTAAAACCATAAAGTTTTATAAAACATTATAAAGCTATGTCATGTGAGCATGTTTAAGACCCAATCAGTGGTTGATCTCAGGATTCCAATTTCACCTGAGTGGTCTGTGGTCGTTCATTTCGCCCGCCCGAACTTGCGGTCGACCGGGCGATGAAGGCGAAGAACCAGGGCGAGCTGGGGCATGGCTTAAGCCGTGCCCCCCCTGATACTGCCCTTGTACTGCCGCACTTCAAGTTGTCCCATGCATGAGTACACAGATACACCTTCATCCATTCACATCCAGCCCCCACGAAACGCGGAAAAAAGAAAAACTCGTGATGTCATGGGGATGCCATTTTTCCCGCCCCTGTCACCGAACCAAGCCGCATTTCTTCCACGAGCTCGGCGTTCTTCTCGCGGAGCGCCAAGTTCCGCTCGCGGAGCTCTTGGATGGCCTGCATGGCCTGCCGTTGTGTTGCTTGATTGACGCCGAAAACGCCGTTGCCCTGAAAAATAAAAGTTTGACCTTTTTCTAACTCGTCCCATATTTAGGGGGAGAAGAAACAAATTCCCCCCCAAAAGACAACAATAGGTTAAAGGATGCTAAAATTATGCTAAAGGTTATCAACTTTTCGTGGGTTTGGTATTTTTTTGGGGGAACAACCCCTAAACCTCTTACCATCTCCGTTTCGTTGCGGTGCCAGGGGTGGGTGGTTTTTGGGGGGTCGAATGCCACCGAACCTCCTGAGGATGGGAACGTCCCCAGCGAGGCCTCCACCCGTTTCAGGTTGGTGCCGCGGTCGGAGTAGCTTGGGACGCTCGAGATGCTGGCGGTGCGGGGCCAGCAGGGCCGTGGATTTAGACGAGATGCGAAGGAAACGAGATGTTTTTTGACAAGTAAACCAAAGTCGCTTGGGTGGCATAGTCACAGTACGCATCATCTCAAGAGGCCATAGCTCTTAGGGTGGGAACATTGCAAGGTCCAAGGTATAGTTCTTGGACAGTGGCGTTCTATATATACAAAGGTTATTTGTTGCCCAACTCAGGAAGGGTTGTCTCGATCTGGATTTTCTAGCCAGCTGAGCTGTCGCCCTTAGAAAACACCTGCGGCCTGCTGATAGCTCTCTTCGGTGGCTCCACTGGAGATCAGTCTCTGTTGCCTTGCCAAACGTGGGACACGCTTGCAAATGATGGATGGATTTCTCCCGCGTTAAGTGACATGCAACATTGATCAACATTGTATTTATCAATTGGGTTCAAATGGCTACGGCCAGCTTGAAAAGTGAATCATCCCACCACTCCACCCACCAACATTCTTCACGCTTGCAAGAAAAAATAGCGTAGCAACACTCCAGAACCAAGCTGACTGTTTGAGAAAGTTTGCACCAAGCAACCCATCAACATCCACGAACCAAAGCCGGATGCAGGATGCAGGTCCCTGAAATCCCATCATCTATAAATATATACCCTAGGACCCTAGGGCCCATGTCCCATATCCTCAAGTTCGGTGGTATTCGACCTCCCTGGCGCCCACCCCTGGCCCACCGAACCGAAACGGAGGTGGGACAGGAGCCCAAACGGGTATAATGGACTTCTACAGCTCCCCACAACCCCCAACTAGTCGCCCGCTCGTACTGTACACCGTCCAGGTGGTGGTGTAGCCCCAGGATCAAAAACATAGTATAGCCCTACACCTCCAGTCGTACCTCCTCAGAAGGTATGACTGGAACCTCCTGGCACCCACCCGAGTCCCACCTTCTCAGGTTTGGTACGACTGGAGGCCTAGGGCAGCCCATCGATGTGTGCCCAGGGAGCCCATCCAAGAGGAAAACACAAACGTTGCCAGTTGGTGCGGCACAAGGTTACCTTGTTGCCTCTCTATACGTTGAAAGGGCACGTTCCATATATACTATATATATTGATATTCTGTAGTTAGATATCTGAAGGGTATGTTGGAGGGTCCAGTAAAAGCTCTGAAGGGTACGTTGGCGGGTCCAGGAAAAGTCCCACAAACTGTTGCCAGGTCGCACATCTGCCACTTCCGAGGACTTGTTGGAGCTTCCCGAGCGAGTGGAGCTGCGGCGGACCACCGTACCTAGGTGGTGCGAGAGGAGCTACAGAGAGGAGGTTCGAACACATGGGGTTGTACTATAAAGAAAACATGCACTTTGTGTGATCGTTTTTGGGAATTGCTCCTACTAAACTGCTTATTGGGGGTGTTCTTGATACAACCTCCGCATACTTCATGGGCCAAGTTACATGGAACAAAATTATGGGCTTGATAGGCACTTAAAAGTTAAAACTGGTGCCTGGTACAAGTATAGTGAGTGTAGCGTCTTGGAATACCTTGAGATGGTTCATAAGTGGATCAAGGCTTTACGAGCAATGCGGATAAAGCAAACCCCTTACTGGCCCAAAACGCCCAAAGTCTTGCGGTCTTATTGCCTCGCTGGGTTTCTTGCAGGTGCCCAACGGTTTACAACACACTCTCTCTCTCTCTCTCTAAACGACACCCTGAAAACTTTGATTGCGCTCAGGAGCAAACTCTTTATTTTGGCGGTGGACTCTCCAAGGCAGCAAATAGCTTCACAGTACTAGCACCCTGCGGCTACTGTCTTCTTGGTGACCTCTTGGAAAATGCTGCTATGCCAGGTATGCGGGAGGGACCAGCTCAGGAAAATCATTAGAGTCTGAATCATCTGCGACTGGCTCAGGAACTTAGAGCTTTCCGAGCCAGCACAAGCAGCATCTTGAAGAAAGGGGCAATCACCTCACCCAAGTTCCATCAAGTTCCAACCATTCTGGGACTGAAACGAGTGGACGTGCTGATGGATCTGATTGAACATAATTACAAAAACAATGAACAAACGCACATGAGAACCACATGCTTCGCTTCGCACTGTGTCACCTTGCCCCTGATGCTTCGCATCTGCTTCACATCACTTCCCGCCGCGGCACTGGCACTCTCTGGGCGTTGGGCGGCGCCAGCCGGTGCCGAGAGTAGCCTGTTCAGTCTGTTCAGTGGGGTGTTCTGTGCCGGATGTCGCCTTCAACATGGTAGCTACCATGCAGCTGCATGACCCTCCAAATTCCGGAAGCCCATTGAAATCCTACCTGTCTGTACCTTCCAGTCGGGTTCTCCCTGGCTAGAGATCCACTATACATCGTGCAGGGTCACAGACAGGTGACCCCTCGGTGGTGGAGAATTCCCCGTGGATCGATCGAGAAATCGACTTCGCCGAAGCGGCCGGTCACGCCGAAGGGGCGGGTCACGCCTTCGGCGGGTCACAGGCGTCCAAAAACTGTCAGACGGGTTGTTTTGTGTTGATTCTTTCGGCATTGAGGCCTCCCCCCAAAAAATAGACGGCAAAAATGCACCTAGCGGGATTGGTTATAACCCCAAACGAACATGGAACCATGGTTGGAGCCTGAGAATAGACCCGTGCTTTCGACTCTAGTAAGGTTGAAACCAGACGTGAACACCTGCGAACGGCCCTATAGCCTCTTCCGGAAGCCGTCCAGCTCGATCTTCCGTCGAGCACCAAGCAGACCCAAACACTCCATGTATGCCATATATGCCCAGATTGACACCCAAAACCACCCCAACTGATCGGCATATATGGCAGTCCCATGGAGCGTCTGGGAGAACAAAGATCGACCCGCAAGTGCAAAGTCTTCGATCCAAAAGAAACTCAAAGGAACACCATCGACCACCTTCATGTTGGGGTCGGGGTCTGCAAGACCGCCCATCGACTATCGGATCTACACTCGACACCCCGACATGAAGGTCTAGGATGGTCTAGGTATGTTTCATGATTGTTCTACCAACACTTCTACCAACCCACACAACTACAACCTATATTCCCTGGGAGTCCAAGACCATTTACAAAATGCTCTGATTTGGGTGATCTGAAGAGAAATTTCCTTAGTTCAGAGGTGTCTTTCGACTTCTATAGGCATACTTTGGACACTTTTAACTTTGAGTGTTTTTGGGGCGACCGACCCAATTGGATCACCAAGCCGCTCGATCTTCGAAGCATCGAAGACCTCGACCTCGAAGGTGACGGGCGGCTTTCACGGTGGGCACAGGAGCACTGAAAACAACCGCGCCAGCCGGGCAAGAACCAGAGGCGGTTCCGGTTTGTGGTGTGTGTGTGTGTGTGTGTGTCCCAAAGTGTGTCCCAAAATAGGTCCAAAGTCCCGTAGCCTCCGTGTAGACTGACAAGAACGCAAATATCGAGCGGAAAATGAAATGCACTTGGATAACTCTTACAGTATATCTGGGACTTGTGCATGGTTCACTCATTGAAGCACTGAAGATGGATGAAGCAAATAACTGCGACGACGCGGATATTGCTCAAGTATCTCAAGTATATCAATTGAACGAAACGTATCGAAACGTTTTGACATGTTTTGACGTGTTGACGAGTCACGGATTCTCAACTGGCTTACGGCAACAGCAACAATCAGCTACATATTATGGAACAAGTCTCGACAAGTGACATACGACAAAACTGCCACATGATTAAGGGCAACTGGATGAAAACAGCTTGTCAAAAATCATGCCCGAAACCGCTCCTCATGAGCACATCCTGGCAGAACTGAGGACCCCAACGAACATATCCAAACCTTCTCCAGTGTTTCTCTGTCAATTCCATGTCACTTTTGGTCTGAGTCTGAGGTACCCCAGAGCCCCGCCGATCTATCTAGTTCATGCGTACGTGACACCCTGTCTACCATGTGGTGGCCGGATCACGTTGGCATCGCTAAGCCACGTCTCCAAGCCTCCGCCTACCTCGATGATCGAAAACAGTGCAGCAAAAACACCTCCGGCACTACCTGGACCTTCCAAGGGGTGTCCTGTCTGGAGATCCATACGTAGTGTAGGGGCTTTCATTGGTGAGCCTTGGAAGGTGCTGGTAGCTCTTTGGTGTTCCTTTGTTTTCTTGTGTGTCTTGTTTTTGTTCATCGCATCCCACTACCTCAACTACCACCCTCCCCTGCTTCGGGCGCCGCTCCACCTGCTCCACCTGCTCCTTCAGCTTCCAGAGCTCCTTGCAGGGTTGCGCACATATAATTTCAACATAAATCCGGACAACATCAACGATGCTCTCATAGCTTCAGCTGCTTGGGACAGGTTTGCGATGCAGTTGGATCCGTTTTTTTTCGCGGTGAAGGCGGCTCACCAAACGTCTCAGTGTGCTGGAGCCCACCAGCAAACATGCCCTCCATCCTCTTCTAAGCACACGTGCACAAAACACGCGCACTTTAAACAAGTGAGGCAGCACTTGAAGTGACTTTGACTCTTTGGACACTTATAGGATCTCCGGAGAGGTCCTGAGGCCTTGCTTTTTCCCACACCAACCCGGATCTCCTGCTCCACGGCCTCCACCCGCGCCTGCAGGGGCGCGGCCTCCCACAGGCTCTGGGACACCTGCGACTCCAGTGGCTCCAGGCGTTCGAGCACGGCCTGCGAACGAGCAGGGAGCCAGCTTTGGGCCACCTGGAACCAGTGGGGGAGCCAGGTAGGGGGCCTACCTGGGACCTGGAAAGTTCCATGTGCAGGAGAATGGGAACTGGAAAGCTTATGACATGGACCCCCTTAATTTGGCCAATGGCTACAAAGTCCCACAAATTGCCCTTAACCCTGGGGGGGGGTCCGCTTAGACAGGATGGTGGTCTCAATAGAAGTCTACTTTTCATGTGTGCCTGGATTTGCTCATAGACCTGGAGACCAACTGCACTCTTACTACCAACTGTAATCTGTATATCAAAGCTCACACAGTGGATTTGTGGAGGATCTTTCAGGACCGGTGAGACATCGTCTTGAGCAATCTGAATCAAGACTTCCACCTTTACGGGTTCCAACTCACCAGTGACCACCTGCTTCTTCCTGCGGGTCGCCTGCATCTGCTTGGGCACCTGCTCGATTCGTGTCTCTACAGCGTCCTTGGCTTTGGGGCCAGGACGAAAAACATGCAGCTGGTACACCCCGCAGCAACTGGAGACATTCAGTTCTCCATGCAAAAATATGGGTTTGATATGCTTTCATGTGTCCTGAAAATCACGTTCTTTTTTTTTTTCCATGTGCGGCCGGGCCCCAAGGGCCTAAGCCCAAGCACCCAAAACCATCCAGTGAAGCTAAAACCAGTGAAGCACTGAGATCATCCCTTAGTGAAGATATGTTAATATATTTTGATTATATAGTGACCCTATGTGACCCTGCAAAGAACCATTGAAGGATGCAGGAAAGAAACTGCCTGAAGATCCTGAAGGTTTTTGGCTCCCTGTTTAACCAGGGCTTTTTGGTATCCGCAGTAAAACTGGCAGGAAACCAAACACAACCAACGCAAAATGACACCAAGCAAGTCACACAAATCCATACAGTAGGGATCCAAGTACCTTCTCAGAAGGTGATGGGAGGCATAGGTTTGGAGGGTCCAAGTACCTTCTGAGAAGGTACTTGGATCCCTATGGATAGACTCTCGGATAAACATCATCGTGGGATACGTGGAGTTCACCACCTCAAACAGGTCATCCGAACTCGGGGATCCACGTCGCCCTGATCAGTCATCGCCAGGATTTCCCTGATCCAACTGCCTGGGCCACTAAATCCACTACTTCAACTGTGATGACACCATGATTTCAGGGAGTGTAGTGACCAACTTCGGATACGACTCACTCCGACCGTGCCCGCACCACCCAGCGGCCAAGCGGAGCCGCAGGCCAGTGCCCCCGGCATCCACCAGTTGCGAGAGCTCCTCCTGGGTCTCCTGGTGTGCCGCTGGGCAGTAGGGGCGGGTGGCGCCACACCCGCAAGTGCGCCATCTACAGGAAACTCAAGGGATCCCAAGCAGACTACATGTGCATTTGTTGAGTGTGTATGTGTGTCTGTGCGTCTGTCTCTGTCTGTCTGTGACTTTCTTTACAACCCTCTTTGAACAACCCATCTCATTACGTCGAACACCGCTGAAGGTCTTTACACCCTGGGCCACCGAGTCCCGAACCTGAAAACCACTGGGTTGGTACTGAACCTTGCAGGTCCATGCCAGGTTTTGTTCAATGTGGGTCTCTGTCTTCCATAGTCATTTCTGTCTTCAAGTGACTCGACTCATCTCCTTCAGTGCCGTCCAAATCTGTGTGCTGGGCGAACCGGTCGCCTCGAGGCGTTCCAAACGGCTCTTGAAGAGCTGCATCTCCCGGCCCCTGGCAACTGCAAAGGCACCGAGCTGGGAGCTGAGCAAATGGAGAGCTAAATAGTCGTGGCACGGTGTCTAGTGGGGATCTACGAACTTCTATCTATTATTTGGGGGTCTACAAAAGACAAGCACTCAAGTCATTGAATGGTGTTTAATCAAATTTTTGAATTGATGTCAGAAAGTGTCGAGAGTGATGCATTGGTTTAAGTCGTATGTTTAAGTATTATGGTATCAACCAGGTTTTCACGGTTCCATCATGTTCCATCCTTTTCACGGGCGGTTGCAGTTACTGTTACTATTGGATGTAATTTTCATTGCATCAGCAAACATTGATGGATGATTGATGGGTGATGGACGTTGATGAACAAACTTTAAACAATCTTTGAAATGAACTTCTTGAGGTTAAACACCTCCTCTAACCAACTCATGCGACCTTGGTCATGCCGCAAACCGAAAGAAGACCTCGCGCAAACCTCGGGTGCTTCGGACTGTGCTTCGGTTCGGTGCTTGCCTGACTTCACATTCATCGGTGAGGCTCTGGTTCCACCGCTGCTGGTGCTCCTGGAGCCCTTGAATGTCCTGACCAAAAAAAAAGGAACATGGACAAAGTCCATCACGTGCCTGGTTGTCTGGACCTCAACAAGGGGAGTTGGTTTACCGACTTGATGCCAACAAATGTCCCTACAAGGATCAAGCGATGTCAAGCCTGGATGCGGCCACAACATGGGAAATGGACAGTAGCTGTAGCTGTCCAGTAGCTGCTTCGCCTGCTACATAAGTGTGTACGGGGGTGGAATGCAACCCCGGTATACCCCTAGACACAAGTGACCAATACAGTAAGCAATTAGAACAGCAAAGGAGGTACCCTACATACAATCCAAAGCGGTTGCTGTCACGCAGTGAAATAAGAACCCAAGTACAACGGTTGCGATGCACAACAAACAAAATAACTATTATACAATCAATTGCAAAAGGAATAGTAAAAGGAATCCTCCCAGGAACCCAGATTTGTTTTGGTAGTTCATTATAGAGGCCCGGGAGGGCCCTTACGGAAATTGAGATCCAACATATTCCAACATGACGTGTTAAAACGTTAAACCTCGTCATGTTCGTTCCTCTCTTCGGCCCTAGATCCCACAATCCAGCCACCAGTTCTGACTTTAACTCAAGGATCAGCGCGCAGCAACTCCAAGTTCGACTCGGCGACTTCTTCCGTCCTCGGAGACCGAGGCCACGAACAGCCACGGGGGGTGCCCAGCTTGGGAGCACGAGCAAGCACGTGCAAGAAGGGCGCATGCGCACGAGACCGCGACCGAGAGTTGACGCAGCGACCGGAGGTTCACAGCGAAGTCTCCACCATCCTGCGCCTCAACTGACTCAGACCACCAGCACGAGGGGCCCAGTGGATGTGGCTCGGAGCAGGATGCCATGGGCCGACCGGAGATATAACATGATATAAGTTCTGCCTTTCTATTTTTTTCCTGTTTTAGGTGCGCAATACCGTATGGCATGACAAACTTGGCACGGAAGCCCCACTGCGGTGGAGGTCGCCGGGAAATGCGTTGGAGGGATGCTGTTGAAGGGTGTCTGTTGTGTGATGTGGAAGTGCTTGGAAGAGTTCGGGGGCTTGCCAGGTGGCGAGGCATCCCTTGAAGTAAAGTTGAGGGGCAGAAAAACCCAAAGGTTTTGCAGTTCGTGGCTCGGCGTGGTGCAAAACGATCTGATCGCCAAGTTCCATCAGAGAGCGGCGCGGTGAATCTGGGTTCGGTGTGGAGGGGCTGGATGTGGGATGCTCATTGGGTGGTGAGGAAGGGATGGCGGGAAGCCATGGTGTTTGAGCCATTTGGTAAATGCAGTGGTGAAAGTATCAAAGTACAGGCGCTTGGTAGGAAACAAGTTGCTGTTCATGTTGGCATCCAGGAAGCGTTGTAAATGGGATGGTAGTGCTAAGCCCGCAAGTGTCAGGACATAATGGCCATCGGTGCGTGGGTGGGTGGGTTGCCGAAGTACGGTCTGGAGATGTTGGCAGCCGCAAGGGAGCTGTTCCTCGTGAGGAGGAGTATACGGTGGGCTGCGTCCCGAGGCTTGCAAGTGGGAAGATACAGTAGGGGCTTCCTAGGTCGGCGATGGATCGCGGTCAGCCACGGTGTCGAAGTGGTCGTGATGGGCCAAGAGGGGAATAGTGAGTGGCTGGTTGGACTTGGGTGGAGTGAGGTTGCGGAACTTGAGTGCTTGGTTGATGATGTGGATTGCCTTGTTTCGGCCGGGTTCTTCAAGGCTTGCCGCCATGCGGCGGATGGCATAGGCATAGATATGCATATAGATAGATAATAGGAAGTTCGGGATGTTTTTGTTTGATTGCGAAGTGTGGTGAGGACGGCTTGTTGCTTGTGAGATGCGAATAGGATTGGATGGCCGGTGGTGTGAAGCCGCCGTCGAAGTTGCGGCAAAGACGGTGATGGTTGGATAGTCTGTGTGTCGAGCAAACTGCCAACCTTCGGCTTTGCGGCTTTGAGATGGAGGTGTTTGGAAAAATGAAGGGCCAGTGGATGACAAGATCTCTGGCAAGGCATCCCCCAGCGGGAACACCGCCGTGCCCTGTCCAACAACACACCCATTTCAGCAGAGCTTTTACTCCGCTACTGGCACTCCACCAACACCATCACAAACCCCAGACGCTCCATGTATGCCATATATCTGCCTACATTGGGGTGGTTTGGGGGGGTCAATGTAGGCATACATTCCAGTCCCATGGAGTGTATGGGAACTACTCCACCATCTGTCCACCCATCCTGACGAATACTCCCAAGCAACGAACACCACCAACACCTCCACACCCAATGAGGTAGAGCCAATGCGTGGCGTGTGATGTAACGGATGAAATGTAGCTTGAGGTACACAGAGTTGGGAGAGAAACCCGCTGTAGTGGTAATTGTGAGGTGATGCCTTCATTTGGTTCGGTCTCGCATGAATACAACAAAGGGCTTCAGATTTTGGAAAGAGCTGCCTCCTGAGTGACGCCCCAGCACTCAGGCAAGATGTTTTGCAATCGCATAAAAGCACGCGCGTGAAAGCGGACTGACAAAGCACACCCATGGTTTTACAACAATAATATTGCTCTCGACTCACAGAATTATGCATATACTTGGTGTTGCCTAGGGGTTTCTCGGTTTCTTTATCTCTGGCTTGGTTGTCTCTTTTGGTGCTACTGGTTCCTTACAAGTTGCTTAGTTTGCCTTGAACCCCCTTAAAAAAAAAGAAACACACATTCACACATATAATTGTTCTCATGTCCTCGTCTCATCCTGAAAGACACGCGTGTGACGTGATCCCGCCCAGGCGAAGCACAGGTCAGTCCGAGCGAGGAGGAACATCCAAGAAGTGCATGTCATATGTCATCTCTACATGCTGAAGAAACTAACTTTCTGTACCACCCGCTTTAATATCCAAACACTCCATGGGTGTATTTACCTACATTGGGGTAGTTCCAGGGGTCAATGTATAGGTTTACAATGGTTTATAAGATACCCGTGTCGATACAGGGTGGGGGGGTCCAAGATCAGATTCTATAGCCATAATGCAAAGTCTTGCCTATTGTTTTCTATATATTCTCTAAGATTTCCAGTTCATAGGTCTTCTTGCCAAGGTGCGTTCCTTTGAAGCCACTGACAAAGAGCGATTCAAAGGCGAGACTGAAATTCAATGATGCACAATAACACACACATATCCTCTATAAAATTGGCACCCAAGCCCCCCCAACAAGGGTACCTCAAAACGTTTTATGGTGTATGTTGACCCCCCTCATTTTATAGAGGAAATGGTCATGGGTATTTTATAAGTATGCCATGTATGGAGTACTTGACAGGCGCTTGTTTCTTCCACCACCTCCCCTGCCAAAGGTGCCATAGGTGCGACGGGTCTCTTTTTCCCAGGAAACCGTTGCAAAGCCAAGGCTCATGCACGCCATGGTTGTACTCTTGATCTCTGCGTGCTCAGCCTTCCTTTGAAGCAAACAAACGCATGTTGACCAAAAGCCCGTCGTAAAAAATTGGACTTTCTCAGGAAAGCCACGGCAAGAAATCACTTTTGGAATACGTGTGATACGAAAATCGGGCAATGTGCTTTTGGCCACCCTTTTCGGCGAACTAAAGCTGGCGGTCCCAAAGAATTAATTCAACTGTTGTGGTGCGTGGCTCTGCAAGGAACAAACAACACTTCCATGCCGCTCTGCGAATCTTAAACGCTGCATGCACAAGCATCATGTGCTAAACCAATCCCCAATGACTTTGTTCATCCTTCTTTATCCTTGTTCAGTGGTCAATTGCAAGGATCCTTGACCGCATCGACAGGAAACACACACAAACTACCACGGGATAAAGGCTTTTGGTGTCCCCAGTCTTGCCAAGCTTCAAGGCATTCAAAGCCTCCTCTAGCTCACGTTTCAGCTCCTCTCCCAGCTGCGTCCTCTGCCCAAGTCGGAGCAAAGTCGACCAAAGCAACCCATCTGGTCATGACACTTCACTTCAAACATCTTCAATCCAATAAACCAGGTAACCAGGGATAATAACCGTAATAACCAGCTCCTTGTTCATGTTTCACAAGGGTTTGCTCACTCATGAAGGCTTTACCACTTTACAGTAATTGAGATGGTTCTGCGACTTTGGAAGGACCACACTCGCACTCAATTGAAGCTCAGCATCCAAGAGGACTGGCATTCCTCATGCACCATGGCTTGCAGCTGCTCCAAGCATTGAAAGTCCACCTTGGCGGACGGCACATGCAAATCATGTCCACAACTGATTGTGTTGAACTCATCCTCCAGGCCCAGGTTCAAAGAGTTGTGAGCACCCCCCCCCCACCCATTCATACCCAACTTCGATCACCACCAGGCTGCCACTTGCCCTTGCATGCCCTGCGCGGTGTTCTTCTTCTCCAGCTTCGCCAAGCGGTCCTCCGCCGACCTCGATGACGGCGACTGCGACTCGTTACAAACCAAAATGAGCGCCACTCTTAGATTCGTTACCCTCCCCCAACAATGGAATGTGGACAGCCCCCTCGCCCCCCTCGTTTCTGGATTGCCACGTCGTTGGAAAATAGCTAGGGATGTGTGGTTGGGAGACCAGGTCCTGCCAAACCTTTGACAGCTGCTAAACTGCTAAACGCCAGGCGTCGCAAACTTTGAGTTGTCAACCAGCCGGCAAAACCCAGAGAAGATTCAAGTAGCATGATCATCATGATCATCTTCCAGCATCCTCCCCCATGATCTACCAGCCAAGGTGGGTCAGAACCCGAACGTTCGACTATCCTAGTTCGGTACCCCTGGTTACGGGTCCGAACGTTCAGGTCACTGGCTACCTCGAGTAGGTATGCCCAACCGGAGCCCAACATCTCATCTCGTCATCTCCCGTCCGACGAGGTCGAGGACGACCGTGATGACAATCCAGGACGACCGGTCGGGATAGCGGGCTGACAGGTCGTTGTCAACGTCGATGTAGAAGGAGGAGAGTCTGAGAGGGCATCTGCGCCAGGCACAGCTCAAAACCCTTTTTGGGGCTCCAATTACATATCTCCAGTTTTGAAGATGGTTGGGGTGGGTGCCAGGGCGGGTCTAACCACCTTCTGAGGATCCGGTTAGAGCCTCAAGGAAAAAATTGTGGGGAACCTTGCTGAAAGAGCCTCAACCCGGGACCCAAACCCTCGCCACTCCTGTAAACCCTCGCCATTGATACAGTGTACATCAGGCCAACATCTAGAATCTATACCGCCCCTCCCGGACCCAAATTCAGCCAAGATGACCTCAAATCGGCCTGGCAAAGGAACAAGCATTCATTCGGAAGGACTCTCAACAAGAATGATCTTCTAGTGACACCCCCCCGCAATTTAAGAGTCTGACGCCATCAGGTAGCTAGTTATACTGTATGTAGTTCCACCCCATGAGAAATCCCAATGCCGCAGATATAAGAAACTGTCTCATTAATGATTATCTACATTACAGTAAGGTATATAGTATATACCAAACGACCACCTTGGATGTTAAACAATGGAACACAACCCAAATTCTTTTAAATGACACCCCACAGCAAAAAGGCGAACATAACATTAGCTAGAACACCCACGAGTAGGAACTAAGACGGAACTATATTCATTTAATCTTTCCCAAACACTCCATGGGACTGCCATATATGCCGATCAGTTGGGGTGGTTTGAGGGGTCAATGTAAGCATATATGACAGACATGGAACGTCTGGGTTTTTCACTCCCACGCCTTCCTTTGAGCTCGAACGCCCCGCCCGTCGGAGACATCGCGAGACGGCCTGCAAACGCTGTGCCCAGCATTGAAGCTCCCGTGAGAAGGTCTCCTGATGGATTCCACGCGGTTCGGGAGCACGGGAGCAATGGCCATGACCATCCATGGGACTTGCACTAGAATAGTTCGACCGATAGTTGCATACATTTACTCCATGTTCACCAAAACTTCATCTCATCTTAACATATGTTCTGTTCACTGTTCTCTATTATCTATATATTCATCTCGATTCTCTATTCCAAGATCTATTTATGACTCATGACCCATCCATGCAAGTAACTATTCCAGGCATGGATGGTCTGGGAAATGCGAGAAAACGGGAGCATGACAAATTCTCCACCGGAATCGCTTGCGATGACCAGGCTTCCATGCAGACCGCCGGGTGGACAGAGAGTTCCGGCCAGTGGAGTCTAGTGGAGCCGCTTCCAGGGTTGAACAGAGTTTGATCTGGTGATGGGTATGCTGCGGATTCTAGGTATGGATTGGATAGATCATATGGGTAATTAATGGTAATTAGAGCATCCCCATCACTCTCATTGTAGGCTCTCAATTCATAAAACCTCAACAACAAAAGGTACCTGGACTGGATGGTCCAACGACCTCTTTCTATGTTATGTGAGTTTCTTTCCCTTCTATGTTTTGAGGAGTCAACACGTGTCAAGATATGTCAAGACGACTTCCTGTACCTCTTCTCCCGTACCTGGACGGTCCAACAACCTCTTTCTATGGAGGTATGTATGAGTCAACAAATGTCAACAAAACTTTTCCCTAGGGCTCCTGTCCCATCTCCTCACTCCTCAGGTTCGGTGGTACCCCCAAAACCACCCACACCTCACCCACCGAACCGAAACGGAGGTGGGACAGGAGCCCAAATGGGTTTGTTCCATTGCTTTGACCCCCTCCCCTTGGGGGAGTCCGGACCCAGGACCTGGGGAGACCTGCGACCCGCAGACCCCGAAGACCCAACAACCAGAGGGTGTGGCAGGGTGTGGACTGGAGCACCAAACAAATACCCTCCCTGAAACAATCGATGGATGAAAGTGGATTACATGGAATGCAGCCGATTCATAGAGGAGTTCAGTGTTCTTTTTGGGGCCATGTTCCACGTACCACGTAAACCATGTTTGTTGGATGGAGGATCTCTTCTTCATGGAGGGATGTTGTTTGTTGGAGCTCAAAGATCTCTTCAGCCCAAGAGATCTCTTCTTCAGTCTTTACGGCCCCTGTCGACCCGAACAGGTGGACGGGTCCGACCGTGTCGACTCGTTCGATGTCGACTCGCCCCTCGATCGATCGACTCCAAACAGGCTATAACCCATCGACCCGAACGATGCCGAGTTCACGTGCCGAACGCTGGCGGGTCTCCTGAAGTTCTTTCACACTGATCAGCTCTTCCGGCTCGGCCTATTCCGACCGCCCGGACGCCGAAGACGGCGGCTGGCCGTCTCCGAAGCGGAGGCGAACCATGGGCCAACTGGACGGGACGGGGGGGAACGCATTACTACGGTGGTTTATGGTGGGTTTCTCACTGTAGTTCATGAAGAAAATTGACCTGCTAAATACCATGTATAAGGATCTGGAAGGTAGTCCAACTCTTGTCGGGTAAGCATCCGGTCTTGGTCCTTCTGAAAAAAACAAAACACATGGACCTGGAAGCCACAACCATTCAGAACGCAGTGACAGTGACAATGCCACATCCATGTTCATACTGCATTCTTTTAGGTCTGTTCTTGTGTTGTTTGGCCTTTGGATGCCTTTGGATACCTTTGCAAAGGTTAAGGTTATAAGCCCCCCCTAACAACGAAAGATGCCGGCCAACTGGTTGCTGCATAAGCCCGGGCCTTCATTCTCCTCTCAGCCGACTTCAGCATCACGCCGTCCGGATAGCGCGCACCCTCCATGGCAGATTCCAGTCTGAAGGACGTAACGCCCTGCTCCGACCAAGCAACACGTCAAGTGTTTTGATTGAATAGCGAACATCCGATGAATGCATGTGTCGAACACTAAATGTCACTAAATAAGTGTGTTCAAGCAATACACACATGTGGAGTCCCTTTGCCAGCAAACTGCCCAATCAATGCGGATGGAGCGTACGCATGCGAATGCACTGACACTACACAGGGGCACAGCTCTGGCCAAGCTGCATGGTCATGAACATCGACTCCCTTCCATGACTTCAAACAGAGTTGGGTCGATAGAAGGCAAGCTGGCAGGGTTTGAGCAGTTGTTTCATATGTTTCTGCTCCTGGATTTGGTGTTGTCACCCTGCTTCATGGCACCTCATGGCCGGAAAAGCAGCACCGTGAAACCATGTGAAACCCAACCTCCCAGCGCCCGGTCCTCCCGGTCATCGCCCCTCCAGTCCGGTCCAGCTGATCTGGCCAGGGAGCTTGGCATGTTCCTCGAGGTTCTTCTCACCGCAGGCCACGCACATGTCCTTGGCGAGGCCGGTGGATGTTCACCGAGTCAACGAGGTGAACAGCTGTCAAAAGGGGTTGAGTAAGGCACGTGGGTTGCCGTTGAGCTGCTTTTTTTTTAGGGCATGGCCCTTAGTTCTGCCACTGTCCGGCTTGAGCCTCCAAGAATCCAAGAACCTTCAAGAAATCCAAGCCGTTAGCTAGCCTCTATGACTCCGCCATATATGGCGGCCATGGATCCAGAAGGCTGCACTAACATGCATTGCTTCATCTTAAGAGCCGTTAAGAGGCACCCGCAGGTACACTGATGCACTGATGTACGGATGCACCCGCAAGAGTACTAACCTTAAGAGCCATTGATATGTTTTGACGTCCACCTTCCTCAAGCGCCCGCTATCGCCCTCGTCGCCCTCTGGCCCCCGAAGTCCTGGCTGGTGCCCTCTCACTCCAGCTGGGACTTGCTCCAACTGAACACAAAGTAACGGTCAACAACCACAGACGTCTGGCCATACCCACTCACCTTGGACCAAGCCATGCGACTTTAGCCAAGCCCAAACGTCTCTAAAAAAAGGTGCAGTTCGCCCAGATCTGGAGGTATTGGGGGCGTCCCGTCACGTCTTCGAACGCCCCGAAAAGAAGCCTTCCATGATGAAGCTCGTATTGCCCGACATCTCTTCGAGCGCAGTGGCGCTAATTGTGCCACAATGCTTGGCACATCGGTTGCATTCAGTTGCCCCGTGGCGGCCAAGGGTCTAAAATGGAATCCCGTGAGGGCCAAGTTTTCATCTCCTGGCGGGTGAAGGCCGCGGTCGGCAAGGCATGGACCCGGTGCCCGGTCTTGCGGATGTGGCGTTTGGTTCTCAGTGGGTCGACATGGGATTACAAGAGTCCCAGGGAGTTCTTTGATCTTCCCCAACGGCTCCAAGTACCTCCTCAAAAGGTATTTGGACCCTCCAAACCCACCCCAAATACCTTCTCAGAAGGTACTTGGAGCCCTGGGGCTTCTCAATTTTTCTCGCGGGATTCTCAAAGAAAATCCAGGTGCTTGGACACGTTTCATCTTGTTTCATCAAGATATATGTTTCATCTCTTAGTGTTTGCGTGCAGTTCTGTGCCTATTCCCCACTGGAAAATGACAATTAGGTCAGCAAGGACCAAGGTGGGACACCATGGGCCTTGGTTTAAATGTCTGGAAGTCAAGCGATTCCTTGTGGACCGGGGAGGACCACCCAACTGAAGGGATTTGTGACAGGTTCTGAACGATGCGCTATGAACAGAACCCCTCCCCCCTGTCTTTTGGTCAACGCATCGATCTGCAAAGTACTACAACATGGCACCAACGGTATGGCACCAAACCCTAGGGCTCCTGGCCCATACCGTCAGGTTAGCTGGTTAGGCCCCCCAAACCCACCATAACCATCTTCCCAGGAGGTAGTTGGAGCCCTAGGGAAACAACAGTGACAGGGGGTTGGTGGTGAACCTTTCACTGAAAAACCCTGGAGCAAAGGGTAGCAAAGGTGCCATCAAGACTCCTGGTCAGCTCTCTGCCCGCCACCATGCTTGTGTCAAGCCACCCCTTTCCGAACGAATTCGTTGGATCCCGATACAACAAACTGCGACAGTCAGGCATCATACACACTGTGGAGAAAGGGGCGGGGATTCTGTCACAAGTCACAAACCACACCAAGACTGGTGAATCCTGTTGTTTCCTGGTGGCAAGGGATCCTCTTGGGCTCCATCCTGCCTCCCCCTGTCGCAACCCGCCGCACCCGCCTCTGGCGCGTGCGCCTGGGGGTCCAAATATTCCGGCACATAGGTGCCCTGGCACAGAAGACATCCAGGAAAAGTGATGCTTTTGGAACACCTTTAAACTAGAAGGTCTCCTCATATCCTCCCAACATCACCCTCATCAAGCCCCAGTTCTTCGCTATTTGTTCGGCTAGCGATAGCTGTAAAGTCAGTCAACACAGTGTTGAAATCATTCCGATTTTACCCCTGCCTCCCTTGACCCTATACGTCCCTACCGTCAGGTCCAAGCTTGCAGGTGCAGCCGCTCGTCGCCGCTCTCAGTGCACTTCCCACACCACAAATCCTGATCGCCTGCCACGATCAACCTACGGCACGCCACGGTGTTCACCCAGGCCTTTATGCCGCGCATGCACACCGTGCCGTCCGTGCCGTGTCTATACGTAGAACGCCACGTCGCTTGGACGCTTGGATGCGTCCAACGCCACCGTCCGGGCGGTCGCCTTCTCGGTTTGCAGCTTCGTGGTCTCGTTGGCCACGTCGCGCCAGGTGGTTCCGCCCCAGGACTCGACGCCTCGTGGCCGCCGAAGCGGGTGGCCAGGCGGTCGTGGGCTTGGGCCAGGAAGGCCATCGGACTGTAGACTCGTGGATTCATACTTCCCCCTCGAGTGAGGTGTAAAGACTCTTCAGGTTTTTAAACAGGTGTTTGCTGAAAAAGCGCGTCTACATATTTAGAATCTGTGCATTTCTTTGGCCCCTTGGGTGGCTTTTGGGTGGTTTTGAGATGGATTTCTTGGCCGATGTAGTTCCCTGTCCGATTGGCGGGCCCGGACCGAGATCTCGACGCGTCATGACGCCTTCTGAGGTGGGACTGAGTGCCGAGGTGGGGCTGCTGAAAAGCATATGGCAATTTGACAGGTGCTCCTGAGAGATTTTTTTGTGCAGAACATGTGCAAAAACACTGTTTTACAGTTTCCGTGGTTTTTGGATGAAACATCCAAAACCTAGGGGGGCAGGATCGTGCACCCCATGATGTAAGGCAGCCGGTCCAACCCTCCTGAATTGGTCAACGGTCTAGATGTTCAAAAGCCGAGCATCGTTCCAAAATGACAAAGTTTTCACGCTTGTGCCTCCCGCAGGCGCAAAAAAGACACACACCCGGTGTTGGGCCTAGCTTTGAGGGCTTTTGACAAGAATCACATTGAGGAACTAAAGCAAGCATGTTGATCCAAAGCTAGGCCCCCAGAAACCATGGACTCGTGGTTCATCAATAGCGAACCGTTCTGTTCGTTGGTGGGATGTGAGTCTCCCCAGTGCTACTTCCCAGAAGGGGGGGTCCCTTGTTGTGGTTGCATTTTCTCTGTGCTTCCAGCTTCCATGCCAGGCTTCCATCTTGAATGCTTCACGACATACGGAATGGCTAGCTTTATCTCCGGCAGGGCCCCTCCTTGAGAGGGGCTTTCCCACCACTCTCTTCGCGAGATAGGGGGGCCCTTAAGAGTGGCAAGCCTGGTGGCCAAAACCAAATAAAACAGTATCGATCTATAGTTTATAAAGACCTTCAGTGGCCAAGGATAAAGCACAAGGATTCAGATTTGCATCTATACCCTCTGATCTGAACATCTATATAACCCACCACCTGCAAGACAAAGTCCGAGCAACTTCCGAAACCCAAATTATTTGAGGGTTAACATGTGTTAGAGCAAGATGATTCAACATCACTACAGTGCGCTGGGAACCTAAACCTAGAACCGTTAACCAGCTGTTTGAAAAGAAACCATGTCCAAGCTGGTCGATTTCCAGCTCCAATCTTGTCACTTTCCGAGTGTCTTCAAACATCTTCAAACTGTTTCATGACTTTCCTTCCCCCCCTACTGTCGCTCCTTCCCCCCCAACTGTCTTTCCTCCCAGAAATCGACCACCACCACCGCGCCAACCGCCCAGACGCCACACGAACCGCAACCTCAGGAAGTCCAAGCCGGTCATGAGGCCACCCATGCCACCACCCAAGATCGCGATGGGGTGCTCATATTCGCCTCAGTGACAGTCGATTTCTCGTGCGTTTCTCCTGCGTTTCGAAACACTCCGTCTCCAACCACTGACCACCCAAGAGTTTGGATGTTTCTGCTGCGAACGGTTCCTTTAAAGCGGCCTTTTGGTCGCCTTGGGATCGTGGGACCGTGGGACCGTGGACCAAGAGCGGAACCAGCTCGCCTCTTCAGGATCACCACCGGCAAGAAACCAAAGGCTTAAGCACTAACCCCTGGAACCGTACCCTGTTGGGGTGGGGTGCCGGGGTGGGTCACAACGATGTTTGAAAGAAACAACTTCTTCCCTTGAAGGTTGCTCACCACTTCCCAAGACATGCGGACACATGGCTGTCAGCTTGGTGCTGCAGGGCGTGCTGCTGCGCCATCACAAGAAGTTGGATGGAGATGGGATTGTCGCACATCGTGGCAAAATCATCTGGCTTATGGTGACTGAGTAGTCAACAAATCTCTAAGAAGATCTAAGAAGGGGATCTAAGAAGGGGGAAATCACCTTAGTCCAAATCAATCCCTAGGGATCCAAGTACCTTCTCAGAAGGTACTTGGACCCTCCACACCTACATAACAGTGTCGAACACATCACCGTACCTGAGGTTCGGTACGACTGGATCGCTAGGAAATGGTTTCACATTGGAGGGTCAGCCTTCCGGCAGAGAACTTCCGGAATGCCAACAGTGCTAAGCCGTGGGTGGCTTCTCGTCTTAGCCCAGCAACGGCGCCCGGCGGGGGCATGG